CTGAATGCTTTCCTCCTGAGACTGAGAATGAGACAAAGATACCTTGCCATCACATATCTATTCAACATTATACTGGAGGTTCTGGCTCAGAAAAACTGCTTAACATTATTCAAAACTATTAGAGAATGCCTAATTAAATGGAAGAATGTACCATGCTCATGAATTAGAGAATGCCAATTCACCTGGAATTGATTTATACATTCACCACAATTCCAGTCAAAATCAGAGTATGTTGTTTGGGGTGTGTGTAAATAGACAAGCTCTTTAGATATGCAAAGGAACAAGAATAGCCAGGCAATCCTAAAGAAAAAGAACAAAATTGGAGGAGTGGTGTTTTTGGCTATCAGGATTTATGATATAAAGTTAAAAAGTTATAGTAATTAAACCAGTATGGTACTGGCATGAGAATAGACAAGCCAATGGAACAGAACACAATCCAGAAACAGACCCATACATACATGGTCACTTGATTTATGATGAGCAATAGGGGAAAAGAAGGTCTTTTTTACTACATGATGCTGGGTCAACTGAATATTCATATAAAAAGTGAATCTTGGGTCCTTTGTTATACCATGTATAAAAAATCAGCTCCAGGTGATTTTTAATCTGAAAGATCAAACAATAAAGATTCTAGAATAAAAACAGCAGAAAATCTTCATGAACATACAATAGGCAAATTTTTTTAAAACAGGACACCGGAAGTGCTAACCAGAATGGAAAGGATTAATGGACTCTATTAAATTTTGGACTTTGTATTTATCACAAGGGCCCATTAAGAGAGTGAAATGGCAAATCATAGACTGGAGAAGATATTTGCAATATATCTAACCAGCAATGGACTTGTTTACAGAAATCAAGAATTCCTATACATCAATAAGAAAAGGACAATCTAAAAGACAAATGGGAAAGATATTTCACAAAAGAGGATATTCAAATAGCCAATAAACACGAAAATGTGTTCAAGCCCATTTGGCCTCAGGGAAATGCAAAATTAAAATCATAATTAAATAGTACCGCAAACCCAAATAAATGGTTAAGATTAGGGACTGACAATATTAACTGCTGGCAAGGATGTGGAGTACCTGCAATTTCCAAACCGTGCTGGCAAGAATGTATTGGTGCAACCACTTTGTAAAAATATTTGACACCAGCTCCTAAATGCAAGCCCATTCAATTGCCCAGAAATTTCCCTCTTCGGTCTGTATTCTACAGAAACGCACACACAGATCCACCGAATCACATGCAAGAATGTTCCTAGCAGGGCGCCTGGGTGGCTCAGTTGGTTAAGCGACTGCCTTCGGCTCGGGTCATGATCCTGGAGTCCCGGGATCGAGTCCCACATCGCGGGGAGCCTGCTTCTTCCTCTGACCCTCCCCCCTCTCATGCTCTCTCTCTCTCATTCTCTCTCTCAAATAAATAAATAAAATCTTTAAAAAAAAAAAGAATGTTCTTAGCAGCACCATTGCTGAGAGGGCAAAACTGAAAGCAACCAATATTAAAACGGACAGATAAATTGTGGCATCTTCATAAAATTGAGTAATATGCAGTACTGAGAATAAGCAAAAAATCAAACCATGATTCGAATGAATCTCACAAACATAATGTTAGCAAAAAGAGTTAGACATACAAGGATACATATTGTGTGATTTCAATTATAAAGTGATCAAAACAGGGCAAAGAGACTGACAGTGACAGAAATCAGAAAAGTGACTGTCCTGGCAGGAGGTGGTAATTGGACAGCATGAGCTGGGCTTCCACTCAGATTCTATTTCTTGACCCAAATGGTGATTAAATGAGGGTAATCTCTTGAACTCGTCTAAAACTATGACTTAAAAAATAAAAGAACCTAGCAGGTGTACATGATAGCCATGATATATCAGCAACTAGAGGAAAAAAGTCAATTGTAATTCACCAAATATGATTCTATACTGGTAACAAAACAAAAAGGTGAACTATTATATCCAAAATAAATTTGTGAGGGATTTATTAACAATGTTTACCTTTTTCATGCTTATCTCTTGTGTTATTTTTTGCTTTATGAAATTTTTGGATTTGTAAAAAAGTGAGCCTTAGTTACACATTTGAGAAAAACAGTAAACAGTTAAAAGTTTTTTAGCTGAACATTCCACAACACCAAAGATGTCCCCTGGGGTAGGGCACTGTGGTGGCCTTGACATTGACATGTGTCTGTGGTACCCAGTAGCTCAGTGTTAGCTGCTCTGGTTCTGGGCTCTCTAAGTGGGCTGAAGGGCAGATCACTAAGACGAGCAGGTCCTTTATACTCAATGGAAATTGAGTGCTTTAATTAGCTTCATTCAACTTGTACTCAAAGGAAGAGATTTTGTGCAGTTCTCTGTGGAACATTCACTGAGCAAAGGTAAAAACCTGAAAGGCCACCACACAGATGCCCAACTCAAGTCCAGAGAAGGGATGTGGCGCAGCAGATATGGCAACAATTTCTTCATGCATTATTTTCCTTAACAAAAGGCAGAAAAGAGAACTACCATTTGCCATGTCTCATGCATAACACTCAAATATGCTTACCTATAAACCTGTAGATTAGTAAGACAAACTCTAACTTCTGTCAATTTTACTACCAGACAGCCTTTCAGATAATCATGTTTTCCTCAATAAATTTATATAGCTAATTAAAATTTTCTACCATCCGGGGCGCCTGGGTAGCTCAGTCGTTAAACGTCTGCCTTCGACTCAGGTCATGATCTCAGAGTCCTGGGATCGAGCCCCGCATCCGGCTCCCTGCTCAGCGGGGAGCCTGCTTCTCCCTCTCTCAGCAGGGAGCCTGCTTCTCCCTCTCCCACTCCCCCTGCTTGTGTTCCCTCTCTTGCTGTCTCTCTGTCAAATAGATAAATAAAATCTTTAAAAAAAAAATTTCTACCATCCCATCTTACTTTTATACATTATTATGGTAAAGGAAAGAATGTAGTATCTCTAAGAAGCATCCTCGAAAATTATGGGTAGATTTTTTATTTTATCTCTGCCAAGAATAGCTATTGCGAATAAAATGATTTAGAAAACAAAGATGTTTCCAGGTAAAAATTGAAAACGTGCCCAAGATATGAAAAACACAAGCTGCATGCACATGTGTACACATGTACACACAATCTTTAAATATCAAAAGTATATTTCCCCTCATAGGAGAAATGGAGAACACATTTTACCCCATTTTCCTTTTAAAAAAAGTATTCCTGATGAATTAAGAAGGTGTTATTTTAGATCTATACCCAGAACAACAAGAGTAGGAACTTGGAATTTATGCTCAGATTTATAGGCTTACAAAAAATAAGAGGAAAATACTAAATAATCGTTTAATGTCACAATCACACCCTGAACTCTCCCTTTCCTGCGGCGACTTTCATTCAGAGCAACTTCCTCTTTTTTCTCTATAAAGTAACGTTCCTCTCTTTTGTTCTCTAGATTTGCCCGTGCTTTTACCGGAGATTGCTTGTCCGTAATTGCAATTCTTTGCTATTCCCAAATGAACTCATTTTGCTGGTAAAATAACTGGCTGTATTATTTTTAAGGTCAGCATTAAACCTTTTAAAAATGATGCAGGAAAGAATAAGTACACAGTGAACAAGTTAGAAGAGATTTCATCTTTCACATTATGCAAATGCATTTTGCTAGTGATATTTTTTATTTTTACCAGGATGATCCTCATTACTACTTTTACTATGTGAATTACAAAATTGACTGTGTATCTGTTTTAACAGGAACATATACATAATTACTCTGTGGAGATATTTTCAGAAGTGTCAAAATATGAATTAAAACACTGACACTTTTTAAGGGCTCCTTATACGGCTCCAAAACACATGTTGTTTACAGAACGGAAGCTTGGTAAAATGGATTAGAACATTTGTATGGAGCAGTTTCTAAAATATCAGTCATTTATTTTATTTAAAGCAATGTTCAGATCTGATGATATTACCCAGAAATGCTTCTGGTTAGGGAGAAACATGTAGATGTACAATGAAACCAAAGTAACTTAACTGCCTTCCATTTTCTGAGGAAAAGATTCCTCCTCCCTTCTTGGCTGAGATGAAATCAAGAGCCGTTCCAGCTGCAAGCTGAGCTTGGTCCCTGCCTGAGGTGAACAGGTTAGCTTTGCTCAGAGATGTCATAGCTCTTTTTGGTCGATGGCTGCCAAGGACACTCTTTTTCTCTTAAGAAAAGTCTAACGGGTAATGGGTAGATGGAGATGAGTGCAGTGCTACCAAGTTGTGCTAATTTGCTGTGCTTTTGGCCAGGGCAGCAGAAAACTCACTTAATTTTCTTTTCCTCTGGAAGAGGAACAGGGCTCCTGCCGTGTTGTGGGAGATATAAACATGCAGAACTATTATAGCTGAAGACATAGGATACTAATTACAAGTTACCAATGTTTCATCTAATCAAATAAAAGTTATTGCACTAAATGAACACAACTAAGGGGAAACTTATTCCTTAGCTTGCTACAATATAACCTCAAAATTATAGATGAAATTCTGTATATATCGAAACTCAACTGGAAAGAAACAGAATTAAATGAAAGCATGCAATTCTTTTTCCTACACTCCAATAATCCTTCAGCTTTTAGTTTTAAGTTTAAATAAAACTTTTCCCCTAACAACCTTCTTGGCTGTCTTAATAATGAGGTACCTTTCCCAGTCCCTCAACATATAAAAATGCCATGAGACGCTCCCCGTTTCCCTCCTTCATGCCCTCTGCAGACGACAGAGATTCCACCACTGAGACCTTTACTTGGATAGGTTTTGATTTGTCTTATCATGAATGAGGATCACAGAAATTACAGTCTAGTCCTTTCACTTTAAAGATGAAAAAAAATCAAGGTTGGGGTGGAGAAGTAATGGAACCTACTTGTCTGTAAGGTTGGGACTAGGCCACAAATCCCCTCCTGGAATGATAAAACCAACCCAGCAAACAAGACATTCTTCACAACAAAAAGCATAGTCTGTGTTTTTGCTAGTGTTTTTGTTTTTTACCTCTGAAGAGATTATCCAAGTCAATATCTTCTTTTCCTTTGATTTTCAAACACTTTGCCTGCTGTACAGGTCTGGGCAAAGAACAGAAATAAAATCTAGATTTATTATCCAGTGAGGTAAGAATCAATCATGACAGCAGCACAAATTTAAATAGAAACCACAGGGTAAACAGTAGTGAATTGACAGGTATTTTGCTGCACCGAGGCTTGTTACAGTTTTTCTTCAGTTTAAGATTTTTAAAATATATTGTCAGTCAGAAACTCTAACTTTGAAACCTGCAACTTGAAAGCTCTCCCCTCTCCCACCCCCATTCATTCTCTTACAGCAGAAAGTTTTCTAGAACTCTCTGGGGAATAATCTCTTCAGGTTCTGAGGAGGAGCTATCAGGGATGATAAGGGATGGTATGGTAGTAAGTGGGTAAACAGTAATTGCTACTGATGATTTTAGTTCTTAGTTTAATCAAAAGATTATAGACATTGTGCTTAAACAACTGTATAAAGTAATTTAGTTACACAGTTGAATGTCAGAGAATTAATTAACTTTTAAAATGCTCCTGTATGCAGTAAGGACTAATTTTGTAACTCTTCCATCATGCAACTTTATTAAAACTTGAGGCTCATGGTTTGTAATGAATATGGAAGTTTCTAAAATGAAACTTTTTTCCAGTGTTGCTAATTACCAAGTAATTAATTTTAAGTAGAGAGACCTTGAGATAGTTGATTAATTTATCCATATATATTTACGATTTTCATGAAAATTATAATAGCTTGCTTTGCAAACGCATGTTCCTATTGCACTTGTACAGCAGCCCTCTTCTTTTATCCTCACTGACAAACTTTCGAGTCTGTTTCAATTTCTGTTTTAGATGAGGATCCCGATTCAGTCACCAAAACCTTACACAGGAACCTAAATGACTTATACATAACTGGAGGTCATTTTATCTATAAATTCTATATGTCATGGTAAAAACATATTCTATCAGTTAGATATATATATATTTTTTACCATTAGGCATTTGTTAAAGATTTTATTTATTTATTTGGCAGAGAGAGAGAGAGAGAAAAAGCAGGGGGAGCCGCAGTGGGAGGGAGAGAAGCAGCCTCGATCCTGTGGGACTCAATCCCAGGACCCTGGGATCATGACCTGAGCAGAAGGCAGACACTTAACCGACTGAGCCACCCAGGCACCCCTCATTAGACATCTTTTAATAAAAAATGCAAGAAATGGAGAAAGAATTTCTTTTGAAATCCCACCTTGGACCTTAAAAGAAAGCCCTACATAGCTACTATGGAACATCCTAGCCCGGGGTAGTGAAGCTGAAGTGTAGTGTGGAGACCAGCACCCTCGGCAGAGAAAACCTGCATCCAGGCTCTAGGCTTGTATCCCAGAGCTCATTTCTAAACTCTATATATAGGTCTCAACTTCCCAAAATGCAAAAGGAAGCTGCACTTGCTTTACAGGGTTTGTTCTGAACAGTTAGTGAAACTCTGTACTATAAAATAATTTACAAACTTTTATTCAGCACGGACGTGCATAAAAATGTGAGGAATATTTTCATTAATTCAATATGCTTAATTTTCATTATACTCTGGATATATACAGATCATCAGGATTTGTTTACGTACTTGTAGGAAAGAATATTAGCAATAGAAAGAGGGCTTGGATTTAAGCAGTGAGCAGCTGGTGGAGAGAGCTGGTCAACGTGGAATGCCAGAGGCACAACGTGTGCACTCAATAGCATGGTGTCGTCATTTTGCAAAGAAGATGGAAAAAAGAACAATTTTAGTCTGCTTATATATTTTTGCAAATAAGTGTTTGGGTATATTCCCCAAAACTTTACAAATTTGATGAAACTGAGTTGATTTTCAAACCATCTTAAAGCAAACCTCTACAATAGATCCTGATGAAGATCTTGATTCTATCCTAAAAATTTGAAAAATAGATGCTAGTATGCCTTATATAACTTTGATGGGGATTTTAAAAAGCAATTTAAAAATAAATCAAATAAATTTACTGAGTAGCTTTAAAATAAAATTCCAGGCACTGCGATCAACCACAGACATATTTCAGTACAGTCTTGCTTTCAAAATGATTACATCACTAGGGTCACCCTATAATCAGTTCAGGCTCAGTAACATTTCCTGAGTGAGACACATACCTTCTAAGGACTTCTGGACTCCTCACTTTGTTCACCCTCATTTCATACTCACAAAAACTCTATTATAAGGTAGAGGTATAGGACCCGTGATATAAATAAAGACACAGAGGCTCAGAGATATTAAATCACTTGCCCATCTTGGGCACACAGTGAGTCAATGGTGAAGCCAGGACACAAACTCCAGTCTGCAGACTCCAAATCCAGGTTTCCCCTACTCTGAGCATCATTGTCCAATGTTTGTTGAGCACTCACAGAAGGCATCAAGAAGGAGATGTCACTGGCACAGCAAAAGAAAGGGAGAGTCAATAATGCTCCTGGCAGCTGGAGGGAGAGATGGTCTGGAGCTAGGCTAGTGGGGAACTCTGTGGAGGATGCAACTAGGTCTGGTCCTAAAAGAAGGGAGATATGCAGGACCGACAGGCTTGTAAAGTTCTAGAAAATTAAGGTGGGGGAAAAGCAGGAACTGCGGCAGACAGGGCATAGGCACAATGAGAGGGAGGGTATTCGGCAGACACAGAGAAGGTAATCAACCTACTGGGCTGAAGCACCTGCACTGCAGGGAAAGGAGGATCGGAGGTGAGACTAAAAGAACAAGCTAGAGCCAAGTCGTGGAGAGCCTTGCATGCTGTTCTCAAGTGTTTGGACTTCCTCTTGCTGGCAGAGAAGACAGTGACTGAAGTGTTGCATCTTGAAAAGAGTCTACTGCATACAGGGAGCAGAAATGTTTGGTGATGATTAGGCCAGTCATGTGCCAAAGATTGTCTGTATTTTAGCTAAAAAGGTAATACCATTGAAATCTCCAGGCATTATTCTTTCACCAGTAATTCTGCTTGAAGCCTGGCCCATACTTTTCATCATAGTTCCAGGCTCTCCAAACAATCTTCAAATTCCTTTGCTAACGCGATTGCTGGTGCAGCCCCAAGTGTCAGGCTACCCGTGTGTCTGTGTACCCCTGACTCACCCCACACAGGAGTGCATGACTTAAGAGAATTACTGCTTCTGTTGCGGAGACCGGCCACTGTCATCAAGAGTCTCTGCTATCCACATTGCTTTTCCGCTTGCCTTGACCTTTGGATTTTGTTACTTCCCGTTGACAAAAGGGGCTGCATGCTCTCTGACCCCCTTTCTATGCTTCTGCTACATTTAAAATGGCAAGTTAGTGGCTACTCTTTCTAGGCTTGGTAAATGCCAGGCCCTGAACTAGATGCCTAACATGAAGGAGGTAATATTAATCTTATATCCATGTGTTGAAAAGTATAAAGAGGCTAAATAAGTCACACAATAAGCTGAAGAGCCAAATAAAAAAAAATCCGATCAAAAACTAATGATGTAATGTATGGTGGTTAACAATAAAAAAATTATTAAAAAAAAAAAAATCCAAATTTGGAGTTAAGTCAGGTTACTCTAAATGTAGTTAAACTCCTTCTAGAACAGGAGTGGCAAACGGCAGCCCATGAGTCAAATCCTGCCCATTGCCTGCTTCTGTGAATTAAACTGTAGTAGAATACAGCCATGCTCATTCATTACTTATAGTCCACGGCTGCTTTCACACTACAGTGGTCAAGCTGAGGAACTATAAGTAGAGATCTTAAGGCTGGCAAAGCCTAAAATATTTACTATCTGGTCCTTTAGAAAAAAAGGTTGCTGACTCCTGTTCTAGCAGTAAAGGAAAATGTTCCTAAGGCCAAAAATATATGTATGACATGTGATGGTTTTACATACTACCTTTTCTCAAAATTGCCTTAATAACTGTAGTTAGTTATCACTTAGAATAGGGCTTCAAAGGCAAATATTGAGCTCTGAATGCTTTTTATTTTTTTAGACAAATTGCCCAGGTCCAATCAGTATTTCCTTAAGCTTTTCCTACATGCAGGTATTACAGTCAGCCAAAATGGTATCCACCACCGAAAGACTCAGAATCTACCAGAGGATACAGATGTGTGCAGTGCCAACTTTCACACAAAGCAGAGGAGGAAAGGGCTACATGAAGAGATGAGAAAGTGCTTTGGGATCAAAAAGTGGGAGGGGACTTTCTGCTTAAAATATCAGTGAGATCAGAAAAAGCTTTCAGGAGGAGAGGAGTTTGTCTAGGCCTCAAAGCAAGTTTTACTAAGGGGAGCATCAAGGGGGACATTGCAGAAACACTGGCAGGTGGCAGGTGGGCAGGGGGAAGAGCGCATACCAGGTGTGGTGTGGTGTGCAGGCTGGTGATACATTATGAGGACTGCAAAAGCTTTCTGCACACATATGTATGTATTCTGTGTGTGTGTGTACACTTGTGTGTATGTGTGTTTGTATGTGTGAATTTAGTGATGGTAAAGCAAAATAAGTCTAAGAACCTCTAAGACTATATATCTAAGGACAGATTCATACAGTATATTTAGTTTGTAAATAAAATGTAATTCAACTTTTAAAAATATTGCATTATAAACCATCAATAAATAACATACATATGGAAATGTTTATTGCAGCATTATTTAAAGAGGAAAAATACTGGCAACAACCTGAATATCTGTTAATAAGAGAGTTAGTTGAATAAGTTAAGGTATGTCCATTCTATGATAAATGATATAGTTATTTAAAACAATGCATTGGATCCATTTGTGTTAATATGGAAAATTACCCATGACATATTGTTAAATAAATAAAACACATTTTTAAGCTAATATCTCTTATTGTCAGACTTTAAACCAGCAAACAATGGTTTTACATGGCAGTCCATAAGAGATAAGGGAAATTTGTTTTTTCTTTGTGAGTAGACTTAGTTGTGTAAGTCTTTACAAGTTTTCCACATAAAAGTCCAAGACCAGATTATGTTTCTTCTAGCCACAAATGCTGACTTCTTTACAGGTGCCTTGTTCAGAGCGCCATTATAAACTTGGCATAAAAATATGTGTGCATTTTATTAAAGC